TTTCTCGCGGTGTGGGCTTGTGTTTGCCCGAGGAAATCAACTTGCCTCCTGTGGAAAGACTCTCTGGCGAAAGGCGAAAATTACTTGGCTTTGAGCCCTGAGGTATTTGCACAGATTAATGGTAAATTTAATTGTTCCAAGAAGTCGGCTTGTTTGAGGAATTTTTTAAATTGTTTTTAAGACTTAATACAAGGAGATGGGCCGCAAAACATAAAAGGTTTTGGTTATTTGTTTTGTAGTTGAGAAATCTGAATATAAATAGATATTTTCTTTAAAAAAAAATAACCCTCTAAAAATAGTTTTAAATACTTTAAAGAACTCTCTATTTTTAAGCCAAGTCCTTAAGCCAAGATGTCCAAAATGGATTAAAGCCAAAAGCAAACTCCGCTGTGAAAATTATTAATTAACAAACACAAGACGCTGCTGTTGGTGCTGCTGCTTTCACGATTTGAGGATGAGTGAGGCCTGCCCAGTCTGCCTGCCACATGCCACTCCTACTCGGGTACTCGCCTCCTTGCCACCTTGCCACATCGTTATTCCGGCCAAGACGTGCGGCGGCGGCAGCGGCAGTGGCAGTGGCAGGGGCAGCGGCTGAGACGGGGGAGACCAAATTATGCAAAGTGTTTGACAAATTAGCTAAAGAAACTTGTTAAAAGCGGAAAAGCGCATGCATAGCAACGAGATCCGGCCAAATCCTGCATCCCGTCGCCATCAGTTGAAAATTGTTTTCATAATTAGCATTTTAAGCGGGCCAAGTTAAGTGGAGACTCTAAGCCACTCTACCATTTGGTCCATACATGAGCCCGAAAGCCGTCCAGAATGACGGCAACTTTGTGGATAAAAACAAAGATCTTTAAGTCAGCTAAGTAACTTGAATTATATTGCAACTCATATGTTTGGGTCTTAAGTTTGTCCTTTTTTTTTTAGAATTAATTATTAATTTATTACTTAAATAGCCTATATCATAGCCTACATTTTTGGGCATTGGGCTAGGATCACCATTAAAGTTTACTGGATCTTAAAAAAAGGTTAACCAATCTGGATCATCCAGCATACATTTTCCCAATTAATATTTTTAAAAGGCTATATTAAATGGATCATTTTATTCTCCAATTTCTTCAACTGTATTTTGCTTACCGTTCAGGTGTATCTTTAAAAAGGATATACGAGCCAAGAGACAAGCGTTCGGAGCTCTTATTTGAAAAACGTTTTATTTTTATTGCAGGACTCCCAGGCGACGAGTGCTCAGTGTCAGTGAATGTCATTTTAGCTTTGCCGTAGTCAGAGCCGGAGACGTAAACGTAACCCTATACGGAAAAAGAGACAGACAGGATGTGTGACACAGCAAGGACCTTAGATACCCTGAAATAAATATGAATAGTATTTATTTTTTTGTAAATGTTATATGTTAAGTTTTTTTAATCTTATAAAAATTCTTTTAAATCATATTTAAAATATATTTCCAAAGTAAGAGTATTCTTTAAGTCAAAAATTACAATCTCCATAAGAAACCGCCACAAGTGTCAGGACTTGTAGGGCGGCCCTTGTGGAAACCCTTTTTCTTCCTTTTTTTTTATTGATGTGGGAGTGTGTGCTTGTATTTTTTGTCCTTTTTGCATTTACCCGCGTCTAAGGACTCCGATGTCTGGAAGGAACATTTGACGAATCAAATGCGGATCAAGTGGATGCGGACTGGGAAATGAATTCCTGTCAAAAAATGAAAAACGTTGAAGGTTAATACGATGCGATTTGGCTTCTTTTTGGCGCCACCACTTATCCTCATATCCGGTGAGGTCCTTTCCGGTGTCATAAAATGTCCCAGGAGGTCCTGATAGCTCGCGACTGAAACTGAAATAACATTCCGTAACACATACTCGTAACATATATTTTGTACTTTTTGTGGGTCAGGCCAAAGTTGGCATTTATAGGCCACAAAATCACTGACATTGCTCTCGGATTTATGTGGATTTTTGTGATTTTTTTTTGGATTTTTGTTTCTCTTTGCAGTTCAGCTGTGGCAATCCAGTTTATTCCATTTACTTAGGCTAATTTCACGCCATATTCAATTTACCGCATCATGGCCATTCATTATTTATTCAGATCATGAAAAATCAATGGACAGCCGGGTCCTGAAATGATGCCAAAAAAAACAGGACCATAGAGCCCTGGGTTCTGGTTAGGGGAACAGTGGGAAGTGTTGAAAATACTATGGAAACTTTTAGTAAAAACTATAAGAAAGGCAACCTAATAGTTTGAATAAAGGAAGTTCTTCTATAAAAGTTTATATTGTAATAAATATTTCTAATAAATAACACTTGTATAAAAGATATTTAGTCTTTAAAAATATTCCTTAGTTTGATCCTTTAAAACTTAAACTTCAAAACGGAAACGGAAATGGAAACAACCTCCGAAACGAGTGGAAGAGGAACGTGCTGGAAAACCGCCATGTGGCTAAGGCCATGGGCGTGGGGCTGAAAAATGCAGACAGGGGGGCCCAGAGTCCCTTACAAAGCCAAACCCCATGGAGTGCATTTCTGAAATTCCCAGGACGAAAGTCAGTCATCCAGTCGTCAGTCTGATCATTCAAGGTTAACTCGCCAGCGACACAAAACACGATTTAAGTCTTTAATTTGTTAAGAGTAAAAAATAAATGAATAACAATTAAGTTTAGTGGGGGGATAGCTGAGTGAAAAGTATGTGTATGGGACTTTGGAGACAGAACTTCCTTTCGGTTCGTTTTGGTTTCTGGTGTTTTTTTTTGGTTTTTTTTTGTGCTTTATGGGCAGGATATTCAGAGTCGAGCGTGGACATTGTGTAAACAAGTGGCATAGGCCCAGTACCGAGTCCTGGCCCCTCCGCGTCCTAGACCATTCCGGTTCCCGGTCAGGTAACGGTAACGGTAACGGTAAAAGCGCCAGGTGTTTGCACGGCCGTCGCCGTGGGAACTGGAACAATATTTGCGTAACGTGTTTGACAAAGAAATGAAAACTGAAAGCGCCAGCTTGGAAAATCAAATGAAAGCACACACAGTCCTCCCACCCAGTACACACATATACACGCCCACACCATAGATACCACCCATCCAGCACCTCCCACCTATACCACCCTCTATAACCTGTAACGAAATTCAAGTGAAACAAAGCATGAATAAATAAATATATAATATAATAAATAAATAGATAAATGAATGGACACATGTACACACTGTATGTACATAGTATGTAGAGTGTAACCAAAGCACTATTAATCTTCGGTTTGTAAACAATGTAATGCAAATGGCACTTGATGGACATTTAAAGTCCTTATAAATAATAAAGCCTCCAAATTTGATCATCAATCCAGGTCATGTTTGTGTCACAGGCCTATGAATATTTTGAGAGGCGAAAACCAGACCAACTGAATAAATAAACGATGCCCCAATGTCCTAAATGTGGGTTTAAAAAAATAACAAATATTTAGTGCCTGTCTCTAAATCTACTAGGTATGGCCCACTAAAAGTTTTTTAACTCTAGTCCAGCATTCAATTATTGTTTGTTATTTTCTCTCAAACATATATGTACTACCAGGCTACCATTAAAATACTCAGTGCTCAATGATTTCCTATGGGTATTCACACATCATATCAAACCAGTCACGAAGAATAACACACTGAATGTTGGCCTAAAAAATGGCACTCACTTTGGCAATTCCATTTCCGTTTTTCATTCAGCTGGCCAACAAAACATGCACACATGTCCCTTTATATTCCTGCCAGTCTTCATCTGATTTTCCTTTGCTTTTCCCCACTCGCTTTTCTTTTTTTTCTTTTTCAATTATTTTATGGGTGCGGGAGCTTGGTAACAACAAACAGATTTCAATTTGATTGATAAATACGGCAGAGCGTGTAAATGATGTTGCAATCGAAGAAAAGGACACCAAGAATTACAAGCCAACCCAACAGAACCCAACAGAATCATCATCGATGCGATGCGATGCGATGCGATGGCTGCGATGGGATTTTCCGGCCCCGCCAAATGGAGCCAAGGGGGGTTGGAAAAGTGCTGAGGGGGATGCTACCATCTGATACGCTTGACGTTTCATGTGAACTTTTACACTTGGAGAGAATTTTTTAATTTCGGTTCTGAGATGGGTAGGATCTTGTAGAGTCTAGTTGGAAATGGAAGATGGCTTTAAGGGAAATATTTGTACAAGAGCTATAATCCATAATTAATAGGCTTTTTATTTAGGAAAAAATGGATTAAAGATGTACAAGAACTTATGTAGTTCTCATATACTATCTGGTATTGCTTAAAAATTGGTTTCATAATTCATATATTATATATTATCTTTTAGTTTAGTTTATTATTATTACAAATATATAGGTTAAGGTTTATATACTTAGATTTCTCAACAAATTTCAAAGTTTTAAATATAAAAAGAATTTTAAACTATTTCTTATAGAATATATTTTTTAATTTCTTAAAACTTTTATATTATATTTTCCAGCGTACACCCACACAATCACAATAAGTGGCTGTTACATTTCACACCAAAGCATTGATGAAGCGGCCAGGAAAATGAGAGGAGAGAAGACAAGGAAAAGTGGGGGAAAAGCCCAAGGAGCTGCTGGGCCAAGAAGGACAAGAAACAAGCCACAGAATGGACAAGCCGAGCGAAATGGCTATATGTGTTTTGTGGCACGAGAAGAAGCAAAAAAAAAAAATATAGCTACGAAAAATCACAGAATTTTCACAAAGATGTTTATCATTTTCACTCGAAAAGTTTTTCCAACCAAAACCGAAGAAAAAAAAAAGAAGCGAGAGGATGTGATGTCGTGGTTGATGGACAAAATATTTTCTGCATACAGATTTGGCCAGTAGATAAAGTGCTAGAAGCAGCAGAAATAAACTAAAGGAACGAGCCAAAATAATGTAAAAACATAGAGTGCTTTCGACTAACCGATACCCCATACTCCCAAGTAGGCTGTGTGAAGCTTTCAAATCGATGGGCCTATGTCGGAACGAATTCTAAATCATTATTGAAACAAACTCTCGACGAGAAACACAGCTTCCGGACAAAATTAAATAATAAATTTTTTGATCAAGTTTAAAATAAATTTTCGGCGTGTAATTTTTTTTAGCTAAAAATAAAGAAAGATGCCTAAAGAATGGGAGGAGAACATGCCCGAGTACACTGAATCAGAGATGAAGGAATTGTTTCATCGTGAACCTCGATTGCGGCTCCGTCCCGAGATGGATGTGAGCCCTTCGAACGACAATGGGCTCTTTACCCAGGACGTACGTAGATCCGAAACGCGACTCAGCTTCGGAGGCCAGGAGGTTTCCGAACACCGCCAGCTGACGTCCAAGAAGGTTGGGTCTCTAAAGACGTCTGCCAGGACCCGTCCGAAGAGCAGTTCACATAAAAGGCGGAGGAACCGAAAGAACAAAATGAGAGCCGCACTGAAATACAGTATCGATCGCTATCTACAGCGTCGATATAGGTACCCATCTAGGCATCTAAGGTCAAGTAGGCGATATAAGCCAGGTAGGAAACCAACGAAGCCTGGAAAGCATTCATCAAAGAAAGCAAAGCGTCCAGCTAAGCCAGTGAAGGAGTCCAACAACCGGTTCTCCTTGTTCCCGTTTCTCATCCGGACACCCGGAGCTTGTGTTCATGTGGCGTCTAGAACCCGGGTGGGAGGCCCACTCATGAGCCCAACCGGAATCCCCGAAATAGAGGATAGGGCCTTGATGATACCGAACGAGCATGGCATCGACATGACTGGGACTTCAGGGAACACGGCCTATGGTCCTGACCAGAGATCATTCCCGGAGCACTGCCCTAATTGTGCCAATTGTGTTCAGTCATGCGAGGTTAAGGTGGAGAAATCCAGATCTTCCGCCTCAACCCAAACCGATTCAAGAGTGAAGTCCCTCTTTTCGTCTAAAATGACGGCCAGTGAAATCCGAATACTACTAGAACATCGCGATCGGACACCATACCCGGAGTTCTTCTCCGATTGTCGTAAAGATATTGAGTCCTTTCGCCCAAGAGGCAAAGGATCGAAGCATTCTGTACAAACCCAAACCCGTTCAAGAGTGAAGTCTTTCATGTCGGCCAACGTATCGGTCAGTGAAATCCAATTGGTACTGGAATATCGTGCCAACAAGCCAGAATATAACTAAATAGGTGAATATTATAATTATACTCCAATAAGGATACTAATGAACCTCTTCATTTACAGATCAAGGCCCTTCATTAGTGTCTATGTGATTTTTTAAAAATCTAATTTTTTGACAATAATTTCGGATGTTTTTGGATGTAGAATTAAGTCCCTCTTGTCTGCCAGCATAACGACCAGTGAAGTCCAAATAGTATTGGATCATTGTACGAACAAGCTAGATTATAACTAAACAGGTGAATATTATAATTATACTACAAATAAGGATACTAATTTACCTCCCAAATTACAGTTAAAGGCCCTTCGTTAATGTCTATGCGATTTTTTAAAAGTCTACCTTTTTGGCAATAATTTCGATGTAGAGATGAGGTCCAGATGTTCACTCTGGATTAGAGTGAAGTCCCGTTTGTACTGGATATAGTACTGGAACATCGTACCAACAAGCTAGCTTATAACTAATCAGGTGAATATTAACATTATACCACAATAAGGATACTAATTTACCTCCCAAATTACAGTTCTAGGCCCTTTAGTGTGTGATGTTTTAAAAATCTAACTTTTTGGATATTATTCAGGACGTTTTTGGATATAGATCCTTTCGGAATTTTGGGTGCTTTTCGACTACCACAGATGCACACCAACACCAAGATTCGATATACCCTCATCCTTGGCGGAAGTCCTGGGTATAAAAGCATGAAATAACCAAATGCCGAAGGGCGAAAAAAAAGGCGGCAAGGAAGACTGGGGAATAATGGCAAAAGGCACCCAAAGGACATAATCGGCCATTGGGCCAAAAACTGTGCGGACGTTGTAAACTGCCATGGCGAGGATACAGAGAAGCAAGAAAAAATTGTAACAGTAAAGGAGAATCCAAGTGGTTTGGGATTCGGAAATAAAGGCAAACAGTAAAAGTGGCAGTTAAAATTGTGCTGGGAATAAATCTATCATCTAATGCAATATTACATCGTAATGCCATTCAGCACAAGGATCTCCTGGTCCTGGTCCTGGTCCTGGTCCTGGTCCTGGTCCTGCTCCTGGTCCCTCTCTATCCTTGTGGTGTAGTTGGGGCTCAGCTGTGTGTGCGGTGTTGGGGGTGTTTTTCAGTTAAATGAAGTCGATTATTCGAGTGCCTCCGGGACTGCTGGAAATATGATTGAACAAATGATTGAGAGCCAGATAATAAACTGCTTGACGCTTCCAATATGCTTCCAAAGGATGTTTCAGCTTGTTTATAATTACAGTGTGACCAAAGCACACATTGAGGTACCGAGGGACCAAGTGAAATTGTGATACTTCATCATTTTTGTCTCCAATCACAACTAGTCACCGCACATTAATAAAAAAATTATTTGCCAGGACATGACACCTGATAATTGGAAGAACATAACGGTAGACTTTGCGGCTAATGTGACCATAGCTCGCGGGTGAGCACATCGAAGGACAAAGCACGTCCTGAGTTGGCCATGATTGGGGTTAGACATTATTTAAACGAGAAGGCTAACAAGTTGGGGTCGGGAAGCGAAGGTAGAACATCAGTGTGCATATCCTGGAGCACAATTGAATTAGGTTAGTCATGCTTTAATGCACATCAACATACGTGCAGCGAGGCAGGACCTCCTCCTACTCCTCCTCGTGCTCCAGCTCCAGCTCCTGCTCCTGCTGCTGCTCCTGCTTGTGCTGTAGCATATCCTTGTGTGTGAACGAGTTCTCTCATAAATCTCATTGTCAGTGTTTAACTTTCTTGTTGGCTTAACTTCTCTTTGGGCCAACAAACAATAACAGCCAGAAACAAATACAAAGGCCAAGAAGCAGCAAAAGCCAGAGTCATTTGTCATTCCAGTTGGCAACAAACCTGTATGTCATTTACATGCAAGTAGTGCATAGTTTTTTATTTGTTTTATTTTATTTGAAGACCCCTCTCGGAATGCGATTCCTCCCCTCAACTATCATTAAGTCTACATACAACATGCCGAAAAATGCATTTTTAGCTTCTACAAAATTGGTAGAAAATGGTATACAAAATTTATGGAATATTTTTAGACTATTTGTCTGCATTCCAGCAATGATTTGCAAGACAGACTGACATCCTGGCTAATTAATTTTATAATTGATGAACAGTAATTGATGCCTTCACCTGAAATAATCCTGTACTAATCAGGTTAGAATATTATTTAAATTTTAAAATATTCGAAAGTTTAAGTACAGACCTTTTGGGCGGGAAGGTTCAGGGTGCAATGGAGTTGCAGTTCATCACCAGGCACCACCAGGCATCATCAGGTTATCTCTTAATGGAAGAAACCTTTTAGTTCCCGAAAGCGAGTCTGGACGGATCTTTAGAACTATTGGTTTCTTTTCGAAATTCTCGGGATTGGTGGTAACATTTTAGACCTTGTGGGCTTCGAAGCAGTAGCGGCTTGACATCTTCGATTAAGGAACTAATTCTCGACTAGTTCTGAATCATAAGGCTATAGCGATTATGCTAATTGTTCAAGTCAAGTCAAGGCTAGATGGATTTCATCATTGATTTTGATGACACTATTGCTTCTTAGAGTTTCTGCCACAAATGCTACTGCCACAAGCCCATTCCCCCCCAAAAAATACACAAACTTTTTCGATTATATGCTTGTGAAAGTTTTTGGGTGTTTGTGCAGTAAACATAGAGGGGCGGGGAGGGGCGATGGAGGGCAATCCTGGTTTTGGCCATCGAATTGGGCCAAGAACGAACCGCAATTTAACCGCACATCGACAGTAACAACAACAGCAGGAGGAGGAGGAGCAGCAGGACCAGGACCAAGACCAGGAGCAGCCAGAAAACCAAACTAAACCTCTCATTTTGCCACTGTGTTGATATTGGGAGTGATAAAGACCAGAAAGTTTGGGTTAGAGAGCGATTGGGAGGAGGCCAAAGGACACACGACACACACAGGACATGGAGCCAAAGGACTTAGGGCAAAGGCTACCCCAAAGTCAAGTAAAACCGAAAAGCAGCTCGTAAACAAGCAATAAAATTGTAAAAAGGACAACGCCGCTGCCGTTGCCACCAATTGGCATTGTCAAAGGATATAGCCAAGGATATAAACACACACACATATATATATCGTGCACACACACACACACATATATAGTCCTGGAAAGGACACATGGGTTTTCAACCTATTCGCTTTTCAATAGTTTTTGCTTTTTACAAAAGCAGTGTGTGTGTGTTTTTTTTTGGAAAAGATGGTTAAAGGATAACGGATCTAAAGGCTAAAGGATCAAGTGTGAAAGTGGCTTAAAAATGCTAAACAAACTATATAATTTTAATTAGGTTTTTAAAGCTAAGTATTGATAAAAGCCCACCATCCACTTTTAAAGAATATTCTCAAGTCCTTTGGTCGTTGAGAGTCCTAAGAACAAGGACCTTATCAGCCTGCAGTCTGAAATTCTGATGCCTTTGCGACTAAATGTGTCATTAAAAAATTAAAAGCAAATTTTCCAGCAGCAACAATGTTGTTGGATGGACAGGATGTTGGCCAAGACGTTGAAAGTCCGACCAGATGTTGCATTAATTTGCTCTTGTCCGCAGCTTGAGGGGGGGTCCTGATAAAAACTAAGGCTCAAATTTGTAGGACAATGTAAGGATAATGATGGATAAGGATCTATTAGTTGTTAAGGTTTTGGGTCATAAAATGGTATTATTAAAAAGAAAGAAAAAGAATATTTCTTTGAAGAAATATATATTTATACTTGTATAAACTTTTTGAATTTTAAAACTTAAAAGAGCATATAAACGTCGCTTATACCCAAAGGAAAAAAATATAAACTCCCTCTCATTAATGGGCATTAAGAGACGAACTCGAGCGCGGTTCATAAATGAGAGGCGACCAAAATCGAATTACATGCCAGTGTCACTCAATCGCGGGCTATATCCAATAGCCCCAGATACCTGACGCCCCGTACCGTCCAGACCTGGCCACAGACTGACGTTGATTGCTTTTACCAGGTGGAGACGAGTGGACAGGGGGGCTGAGCTATACCAGGGAGTGAGTAGAACTTGTCAGCTTTTATGCTTTTAAAATATTTTATTAATTGAATTAAATATATAATTATACATGCTATGCGGTCTGGGTCTGGTTATGAACGAAAAAAAAACGATGAAAATTGCAAATAAAATTTAAAAACAGAAAGCGAAGGCTTTATAGATTTTAAAATATATTTTTAAAGCCCCTCAAGTGTACTTAAGCCATTGGCAAGTGAAAGATTTAGCCAAAAACTTGCCAGCTGCATTAATTTAATTGAATTTAATTTACTTACAACGTGGAGAAAGTGTCAGAAAAGTGCCAGAAGTGAATGAAGAAAGGGGGCTGAGGCCATGGGCTGAGGGCTGAGGTTAAAAGAGGGGGCTCGGTCGTCTTAGACTTCTTCACAGTTCACAAAGTGTCGTCCGGAAGTTTCGATTTATAATTAGCATGACACACACTCCAAGTGAAAAACTGCAAAAGAAGTCGTGTCTGGCGAAAAATGCAAAACTTTGGCCTCTCAACTCCCAAGGATAAATGGCAGGGGCGGTTGAAGGAGTGGCAGTTGAGACCGGCAGTGGGGGCACGGGGGTCTTGAGAATTTCCAACCAGACGAGAGAATCAATATTTCCGCAGGGCAAGCGACTGACTCCGGATCAGTTCCTCCTGCTCTTCCTGGCCTGCCAGGAGCGAACTCCTTCGAGAATCAGGACAAAGACTGAGGACTGGGGACTCCCCCACATTTCCGCCATAGACAAAGTTTGCAATTTTCGTACCTCAATTGGTTTTCTGCTGCTTTCCAAGGGTAAATGGTCTTGGGATAATACACAGAGAGAAATAGAAGATTTTTCGGTAAATTTCTTAAATTATTATTTAAGTATTATTTGGTTAAAAATTATTTAAATTTAACTTTTTTTTTTGCTAAGCTATAACAATTGAGAAATTCTAACCAAAAACATTAAGCCCCGAAGCCCCAATTTGTTTGCATTTTAGGCTTAGAATATATAGTAAAAAATATCTAAAAAAATTCTATCTATTACCAAAAAACTAACAATTAACTAATATACCCCTTTGGCTAACAAAAATGTAGGGTATGACACTGACTTGTTGGCTTTGTCGCGACTTGGTTCCAAGGTTTTAATTACAACTTTCGACGCGTTCTCGCCTTGAGACAGTTTTGAGAACCCACGACTCCACCCTTCCAAATAATACCCCACCCCCCACGCTCAGTTCAGAAATCAATGCGAATCAAGTGGTGGAAATATGCTTACTCCTTGGTAACCCCTTTTTTTGCACCTCTGCCACCGCCCATGACAAAAAATCGAGAGTAAACTTTATCTGGCTTGGCGTTTTCAAGTGCTGCAAGATTTTGGCTTTTTATGTTAGTTTTCAGTTGGATTCTTCGGAGGACCTCCCCTCTCACCATAGCCCACCGACCCCTTTGAATGTTTATATAGTACAACCCCCTTGCCGCACGCCACTGTTTCGGTCTGCAACGGCATTTAAAACTTTATCTAGAGAAATTTTTCGGGAAGGGTTCTGGAGATGGGAGATGGGAGGAAGCTTTATGCAAGATTTCCGTTGACTTTTTCCGAGTTTTTCCCCCAGAGCCATTTTGGCCTTGCTTTTCAGCGAAAAAAGAAAATAATTTTATTACTCCTTTTAGTTCTTCTTATTTTTTTTTTTTTGTTTTAAACTGAAAAGCCCAACGGCAAAGAAATGTATAATTTTCAATTTGCACTGATTACAATTGAATTTCGCTGAGGTTTTCGGTTTCTTTAATTTTTTTTTAGAGGGGGCAGTGGCTGAGGAGAATCGGACGAGAGACTTAGACTCTGGACTCAGTCAGACTTGGCTCTCAGCTAAGCTCTTGAAATAATAAACAGAGATATTACTAGGAAGATCGATCGATTGGCTTGACTTCAGTTCGATTTTGGATTTTGTGGCGAGAAGTTGATGTGAAGAATATACTTGTGACTTAAAAATACTTTTTAAGGGTCGGGAACATTCCGCATGCCGTTCATAAATATATTGTGGAATGTTACGAGACCTTTGCGAAAGTGTTTGGCCTTTGCCATCAAAAGTTATTAGTGGCTCGCGGATTAATCAATTTCGGCGTAAATTAGATGGAAATGGCCAACGGAGTGTGGGCCATTGTATCAGTCAACAGAATCAACAAATCAACGAAGCCGTCAACGGAAAATGTCATTAAACTTGTGGTCATTTCATGGTGGGGGTCACAAGGGCCCCCTTGTTGACGGTATTTTTGGTTTTTTTTTTTTATGGCTGACTGGCTGGCAAACAAAAACAAAAGCTCCAAGAAATCTATTATGACATTTGTGGGCTGACAAGTTGACGGAAAGTCATTAATGATTAAGTTCGCCAACATCGCCAGCCCCTCTCCTAATTATTGTATTACCAAATTAGGCGAAGGTGCTGGGGTTTTTGGCCGTAACACCAACCACACCCCCTTGTTTGCCAAGGCGACGAAAAAGTCATAAAAATTCCAACACGAACATCAAACATCAGAATAGACTGGAAAAAATACAAAAAGAGGCTTACAAATAAAGTAAGTTACAAAAAATATATATTTTGAAGTAAAAATTATACATATTTTTGAGGTTTCTTCATAAATTTTTATATTTAAAGATTGAATATATTTTATAAAATTTTTGTAGGATTTATTTTAAGAAAGCTTATTTCCACCAAACTCTTATGGAAATTTTTGGAAATATTTTAAAACCTTAGAAACTTGTTTAAAATTTGTTGTAAAATTTCCTAAAATAAACCCAACTTTGCTTTAGCAGAAACCACTAAAATATTTCCCAGAAAGGTCACCAGTTTTCACTTGTCATTCACTCTGTGGGTGTTCCATATATTTCTTGTGTTATTTTTTGAGTGACAAGTCAACTATTTAGCAAGGTCGTTTCCTTTCAACAAAGAAGGATATTTTTTTGCCGGCTTCTGATTCTTTTTTTTTGTGGCACTTCAAAGGCTTTGATTTGTTGTTGCTGGTCATGTGCTTTTCACTTTAGAAAATTGAATCCTTTCGCCCGCGATTTTGTCTTCAGATTTCTCAAAAAAAAAAAAAAGTACGCAAGTTTTTCCTTGAACGATTTTTCCTCCGACTCTTTGTATTTTATTATAATGTTTTTTTCTTTTTTTTTTTATCTTTTAAAAAACTCTGCACATACCCAGCCATATATGGTGTGTATGGTGTAGAAGAAAGACGACGGTGGAGTGGGGTTCTCTGTGAAAACTTAATCGGATTTGGCGTGCGTTTTCTTCCAAAGAAAGGGAAAATTTTAAAATTCAACCGGCATAAATCAAACACTGGGACGGCAATTTTCGTGCCCTGCCTTGGAAAAAAGGATAAACAGGATTCAGGAGGGGTAAGAGTGGAAGGTGCAGGAGGGTCAGGGGTCGTGGCAAGTAAGGCTCCGGCTGCCACACAAAATATTTACGCCTCACAAAACTTTTTCCCCAAAAAACTCATATTTAAACTTTGCGTGTGTGTTATATATCCTTTTTTTTCTTAAGGACGAGGTCTGGGTGGAGTCAACGCTAATGTCCTGGTTTTGAGCGCGCGTGTGTGTTGTTTATTTTGAAAATCTAATTTTGACTTAAATTGATTTTCTTTTTAACTATATACCATTTATTGGACAAAATTATACATATGTATGTGGATATGGACTGTGGTTATTTATTAAATTGTTCAAATCCTTTCGGCTTTTATCTACGCTTCAAAGCGTTTATCCTTTGCGGCCACTTAGGCAAATTGAAAGGTCCTTGCGGTCTGGTTCGCCTGTCTTTTCAGCTTTTTTCGGCTTAAGGATTTCGTTACACATTTAATTTGCTAATTAAAAAAAAGCCGTGAAATTACCAAAGCATATATGCCAAGCCGGTTGGAATTAATTGAAAAAGGCAACTTTACAACAGGAATACTATTCTCCATTTGAGGCATGTTTTGTGCGACTTTAAGGATAGTCTCTGGCATTTTATGGCATGAACATTCGGTCCAAATTAAAAGAACTAAAAATAAAGAAAATGGATAATTTAAGGATGATGCAGGTACTGCTTTAAAATTACACAGACACACCTGGCAAATAATGAAATTCTTGATGCTGCCGGATAGCACTTGGTGAGAGGTTAGAGGTTAGAGCTGAGGTGGCGCGACCTGGGCTTTGAATACCAAATAAATAAATGAAATGAATACTATTCCCCTACACACCGACACTTCCCCAAAAACAAAAAAAAAAGGCAGAGAGATGGAGAATTTGAAAGTCCAGGTTAGGGTCCTGGTGTGTATTTTCTTTTTTTTTTTTTTGTTGTGTGTGGTAGAGAGAGTGGCACCCCCGAAGGACAACAAACAGCAGGTCACGTGAAAAGGAAGAAAAGGTGGTTTGTTCAATTTTTAGCAGCCACAATTTGAAATATTTCTCCAGCATATTTGACAGACAGCTAAAGTTGTGGTCCACCAGGGGAAAGTAAGAGGGGGAATGGAGCAGGAGGTAGCACCTAGTGTGGAGAGTGGAGAGGGCAACAGGACCTGGCTGACACATTGCAATGCAAAAGGTAGCGCCAGGACTCCCCATCTCCCAGTTGTGGGCCAAGGGCCGAGGGCCATTCCCTTTGTTTACGTGCCAAGTGTGAAAAGAGAATGTGAAGGACAACAAATGAAATGCTGTTGTCCTGTGGCCAGAGTGTCCTAGTGCCAGGATGCCCAGGTTTCCAGTTCCCCCAGACCACTTTTTAGGAGGTTTCACTGTAAAATAGAAGAATTGAAAAGAATTTAAAGGAAATATACCTAAAGGATATTCTTAAAAGGACTAAGAAATATTTTTCTTAGGTAATTTCTTTTAATTATTTTGTAAATTTTAGTAGTATTTTTGATCAGTGTATAGACACGTGCACAATCGAGCGCAATAATGAAGTACTTTTTGATGCCTCGCCAAGTGGCAAGAGGGGGTTATACTACAAAGGCTAAGAGGAAGGGAGCACGGGGCGTGGCTGGTTGACAATGGGCAGGCAACTTACTGAAAAGGACAGCCGGCATGCTGCACTGTGTACTGATGTGATTTTCGAGTTAAAACCCGAATTCTTACCGGAATGCTCACATCGCTCAGTACATCGCCCCAAAACCCTATACCCTAAAACCCCCCTTAAGCCCTAATTCAAACCAAAAACCTATATAGCAGCCCTCCTCCTCCACCCAGAACCAGAACCCCCTATTGTAGAGATTTTTGGTTTATTTTCGTTACGTTTTCTGGTTTTTCGGTTCGTTTTATTTTGTCTGTTTATTTGTTGTTGTTGGGGGGGGGGAGGCCCCCAGGACATGCCCACCCCAGCCCACCGAACCGCCAAAACAGTCAGTCACATGTGTAGGCCAGAGAGGGAGCTGGAGCTGGGTGGAGCTGGGAGGAGTTAGCCCGGTGTGCATTGTGTGAAATTCCTTGCTTCCACTTCATTTAGCATTTTGTTTGAAGTGAATAAGGACAAGGGCCAACACCAGAGTAAAAACAATGCCACTGCAAATGGTAGCACAAACTGGTAACAACAAACGCCAAAATTTACTTCAAATATTTGGCCAAAAAGCATTTAGATTTGTGTGTCCCTTTTTTGGTAAACTATTTGTCTTTGTCCCCTCATGGCAAATAGCTTCTCACTTTTGTTTCAAAAATACCAAAAAAAATGAAATCTCAAGAGAGTATAATTACGTTTTGATCCGAAGATCGTAGAATTTATGCGAGCAATACCAAAAATTATAAACCATGGAAAATATTAACTGGGGGAGGCTTGGGTGGAGCAAGTCCTTCCCTAAAAACGGGCCCGTTTGGCGGGTTGAGGCTTCTCGTCGTCGTCACTGTCCTCGTCGTCCGCGTCGCTGCTGTGCCGCCTCTTCAGTGGGCGACTTGGGGAGATCAAGAGGCTGCTCTCTGCATTCTCCTCTTCTTCATCAGCCTCAGACTTGTCTTCATCTTTCTTCTCTTCGTTAGGCTTGTCTTGAGGCTTGTCTTGAGGCTTGTCTTGAGGCTTGTCTTCAGACTTTTTCTCTTCAGCCCTTTTCTTATTTTGTTCAGCCTTTTTCTGTTCTTCCTCGTCTTCTTTTCTTTTCTTTTCTTCAGCCTCTCTTTTTAGCCTTTCTCTGGCCTCCCTTCTCTCCTTTTTCTTCTTCTTTCTCTTTTCCTTGGCCTTCTTCTTTTCGGCATTCTTCTTTTCTTCATCGTCATCGTCGCGTCTACCGGAACCACCGCCCCTTCCGTTTCCATTACCTCTTCCGCCGCGTCCTGGATCATCCCCACCGTCTCCACCTGGGGCTGCACCGGCTCCTGTTCGACATCCTATCAGTCTCATTATCTGCCTGCGTCGTTGACGTCTACGTTCAACCCATTCCTGTTTTTGAGTGTTCCTATCGAATCCATCCACTGGTTCCTGCCCCACATCGGTAGGTCCATCCCACTCTTCCATGTCGCTGTATACGAACTCTTCTGAGCCACTCTTCTTCTCTGCACTGTCTTCTGGGCCAAGGTCCATCTCGCTGTGGTCTGAGCTGTGCAGACTTTTAAAGCTATCTTCGCTGTCGCCTAAGACACGATTGTCTTCTACACCACTGGATTCTTCAAGACTTTCTAGCTCAGTACCTTCAGATGAGCGTTCGGTGTCTTCCCCATCGTCTGAGCGGATCTTCACAGATCCCTCCTTTGGGCCTTCATTTTGGAGTCCTTGTTCGGCATCCTTCCTACGGCTAGTACGTTTCTTGTGACCTCCGGAACGCCCTCCATTCCGACGACTCGGGCTGCGTTTACCTCCGGCTTTACGATTGGTGTTTTTGGTAGAACGCCTGCATTCGGGAGTCCTAGAGCACTTGTCTCTTTTATTGGTGGCACCTCCGGCAGGAAGTTTGCGGGGGACTGCACCCGGACGAGTGCCAGACCTTACCTTTCGGACTGCCCTCGGGTTCGGGGCTCCTTGGGTCGCTCCTTGTCCAGGCCGAGCTCCCGTTGCTGGCCTAGTCTCTCCAAATGGCACAAAGAGCCTTGTCGGTCCCCGCCCGTTGCGCCATATTTCCACCTCGCCCTGCTTGTGTCGCGGAACCGGATACCAACTGTCGCAGTCCCTGGGAAGGGTGTACACAATATTGTCGTACATATCGGCGACCCAGTGCACGACGGTTTTCAGGATCCTGGTGGAGCCCGGCTTGATCCTTATGTTGGCAATGTCGCGATCGACACAATCGTCCTCAGTGCTGTCGACTTCAAAGCTCACCGAGTAGTCCTTGCGGATGGTGCAAATGTGGCTTTCGTTCCCAGAATACAAGTCGTTTTCCATGCCGCAGTGGACGGCTTCTTTGATCAGACGACGGGCCGATGACTCGCTCATTCGGCATTTGTAACGGGTCTCCAGTACACCCATGGCTGCCATTCCTCCCGATCCGATGGTGGCATATGGTAGGATGTCGGTGGTGCCGTCGAATCGAGTGCAGAACAGATGTGCTCCTTCCTTGTCCACGCCGCCGATGATGAAGCTGGCCCCGAGGACGCCCCGGAAGCGGTAGAGGACATGCTTCAGGAACTGATTGGCGCAGCGTACGGGCACCAAACGGTCACCGGTATTCATTCGATGAAGGTTCATCTGGGCATGGGTCAGATCGAGCAGGGCAGAAATGTCAGCCGCCATTCCGGCTCCACCGGCACTGGAAGGCAAGGGATTGTGGTTTATGGAAAGAATTTAGACGAAACGAAGATTTCAGATTAGAAACATTTTCTTGTCAAAATTTTCTTTGGAAGAACGCGATGAACCGTCGGACTTGGAGAGCGAGGAACTATACCGCGTACCGGGTATGACTACCGAAAAGGCCAAACATTTTACATAAATTTTGATCACGTTTTGTATAATTTGGAACAGAACCGATGATACTGTTGATACTATCTATACTCACTAAATATGGTCCTGGATCTTCTGAATCTTGCGAGTAGTCTTGAAAGTAATAATAGAGCCAGAAGTGGATCTGGAGTCGCTGGCAATCATTACGCCATCGCGATATGTGAGGCCCACAATGGTGGTGCCAGTGCTGACTACGTTGGGTCCCTCAATCCCCTCCTTAACCAAGTCCCGGTTACTGAGAGGGATATATATGGGATGGCTATATAGGATGGTAAATGAATATATCTTACCGAACACAGTTGTCAAAGCTAAAGCCAGTGGAGCTATTCACATCCAGTGAACCTAGCATATTGGGTGGCTCAACTTCGAGCCACATTTTGTGTTTTCAGTTAATATTTTCAGAAAATATATTTATTGATGTGGCTTCTTAGAAAGCCGGGGACAGAATGAGCTACAACACCGACACCAAACGGAACGTCCAGGGAACTTAAACACACGGCCTGCTTCGATTTTTGCCTTTAAAGTTGTGGGACTTTCCAGGCATCCCATCAGGGGCTTTTCTTTTTTTTTCCGCTCTCTCTTGCCAACGTATGCGGGTCAAAATACTTTGGCCAAAAGGTCTCCAGAGAAGGGAAGCGGGGCACTGATGTTGCACTGAAAAGAAATCGCAGGAAAATGTGGCAGCTGCTGAAGGTCAGAGGAATGAAAGAGGCCCGGGGTTGGGGACGGGCTGGGGACGGAAGCCGCCAAGATGAACCGACATCATCGCCGTCAGACATCAGTGCAGTAGCTCCACCTCTTTCTACCCGGCTCAGGGCCTCTCTCTCTTTTCAGGCTTTTCCCGGGCCGTGTGTCTGTGATGAGCAAATGAATTTTTAATAAAAGCGCCACATGTTGCCAATAGAAGTGCAAACAGAAATGGGTGGATCCATTCCCGGTTCTACTATTTTTTTCCTATTTTTCTTTTTGTAGCCCCTCTGGCCCTATGCCCCTGTTCTGTCTGCTGCTGCAATGACGAGCCATTAGTCGAATGAATTTTTATGACCCACACTCCTCCTTGGAGCATATTTTTTTTTTTTTCAACTCCCAATGCTAAAGGATTGCTGCTTTATCTCAGTTTGACAACAGGACGATCGGAGGATCTCGGGATTAGATCAAAAGCTTAAAGTCTAAACTACTTATATAGGGCTTCCACAATCTAATTGAATAAACCAAAGAAAAGCAATTGGATTCCGCCTGAAGGGGTTTTCCGCTCCGGCGGAAAGTTTTCCCCCAGACTTGCCCAGACACAGCCAAGTGATTTTTCCGCGTGAAAGGCTTCTGTTTGTATTACATTTGGCCAAGGATTTTTCCTCCACAGGAATAGGATATTTGTTTTGAACTTTTTTTTTCTTCTTTTAAACTAAGAACAAGGTTATTGTATTTAATATTGAATTTATTTTAACATTAAATATAACGGGGAGTAACATTAGTATCTTCAAAGTTTATTTCTTCCTCTGGGATTATCCATTTTATTAAATTAAATATATGAACCGTAGAAGATATCTGATTAGTGAGGTATTATTTGTGAGTTGGAGGACTTCTCTACCCTAAAGTTTTGATGATTGAGGAGCTTGTGGAAGTTCATATTTTTCTTTTGGCTCCTTAAAAGGATATGGGTCTGGCTTGGAAGGCTTGGTTTTTACTTTCTTTTGTGGACATTCGTCGGGTTCGACAGGTTCCTCGTCGGCTCTTCGCTTCTTAGTCGAGTTTTCTGGCATTATGTCCTTTTTACTTTTGATCAAGTTGAGATTAGGTTTATAGACTCAAAGATCTTCTTTAGAGACCTATTGGTGAAAGAGCGTTTATCAAGAAATACCGTCCTATTAGCTGGGTCTTACCTTTCCGATTTTGTATAGAAATATTTCTTACTTTTGATATTTTGATGTGATATATTTACTAGCCTGAATGAAAGTCATCCTACAAGGCATACTTTTGCCAGAGAATTATTCAAAAGTATTCCCAACGAGATGGAGGCAGTGCCCTGATTTTAATTGGAGCCTCGACTCTTAACCTGACCCTGACAGCTTCGATTGTGTTTATTGTATTTAAATTAACTTATTTATTGTTATTGCCCAACTGTGTGGTCCTCCCATCAAAGGCCCAGCGGCAGTGTCAGTGTCTTTATTTTTTTACTTTCCTGTGGGACTTTGGGGGAAAAATCGTGAGTTGGTGACCCCGAAACGCTCGGTCCGAGGAAAGTTGACAATAAAAGTAATAAAAACAGAAATTTGTCGCCGCATGTAAATGGAATTGTTTAAAGGTGAAACGGCAAAAGGGCAGAGGGCAGAGGACAGAGGGCAAAGGGCAACAAATAAACAAATTAAGACGATGCACAATGCGGCCAAATACAGAGGCCTGGGTTGGGGTCGCCTAGTGGGTGGGAAACGCGAAATCCGTAACGGATACGTATTATTTTTGGCCTGCCAGGGAACAGAAAGTGTCCAGAAAGCGGTTCTCCCTCCTAAGAGGGAGTTGTTATTGTTGCTGCCAACAATAAGCCAAAAGGGCAAAAGAGGAAGGTGGGCTATGTGGGTGGTATGCTGGGATAGGGCTTTCCCTGGGAAAACGGGAAACGTCTGCGAATTGCAGACGGCGGCGACTGTCGGCTCATGGCAATGGTGATTTAATCTTTGCAGACATTTTTATTCAAATTTATTTTAATATTTTTCCTTTCCTGCCAGCAATGGTGTTGTTATTGCCGCAATTTTTACTCAACCAGCTACACAATAAACAAATGTGGGTAGGTTTTTAAAAATAATATTACTTCGAGCTAGGGAAGATAATGTTTAGCTTTTAATATGTGTCTGAAACTTTATTTTTTTGTTAATATTTATTTTAAAATTTTTAAATGATACCATATTATTTGCTTTTGTTGATTTTAATGCTTTGTGGCTTCTTATATGACTTTTGCTGTTGCATTTTATGTTTTTTGTTGGTATTAATACCCGGTACTTATAGATTTACAGGGGTATATCTCTTGCCTAAAACCCAACCGGTTAGTTTCTTTTGTCTTCAAAAATAAAATTTCTTTAAAATTAAACCAAAAATCCTTATTAGAACCTGAAGCTTTCTAGAGACCTGAAGAAGAATCTCTAGTACCGGGTATCTACAAAGTCTGAACCACAAGCTTCAGTCTTCCTGCATTTTCTGCCCTTATTGGCCTTATTGTTGTTGCGAATATATATTTTTTTATTGTTGCCTGCTATTACTTTTGACCCTTGTTGTTGTTGCAGTTGTTGCTGTTTCTGTTGCCACTTTGGCGGATGTGGACGCGTCGCTTGCACAATGCACGGGAATTATGGCCAAGATCCGGGAAAGAGAAAACGGGTCGCTGGACAAGTTGCAGACGCAGGTCTCCACTTTCTCGCCATACTCCTTGCCATCCTCCTTTATTTGTCCTTTTTTTTTCCTTTTTGCTTTCCACTGCGTCGGCACTTTATCATGCAAACAGGACCAAAACTGTCCTGGCAATTCACCTTTAAATTGTCTTACCGGGAAATACTTTTCCATTGTCCTGGACCATTGGCCATTAAAACGAAAATAAACATTTATTTGTGTGTTATCTTTTGATCACAATTACATTATTTTAACGGGCTTTTATAATTAAAATGTGGCGGAAAAGTGATCGCTTAACTGTTGGTCAGATCGCTGTAGGCCGGCATTAGTTTGTTGGCCAAAATTAGTGGCAGAAATACAGAAATACGAGAGTATAAGCCGTAAGCCTAAGCACACACTAATGGGTCGGGACGCTAAGCCAACTTTAAGGACACGTTGGCAGGACGCATATGATGCCGGGTCCGGACTCCGGACAGCCAAGTTGTCAACTTTACAAAAAGCGGAAGTTAGAAATTTCACAGTGTGCTGCCAGCCCTGGACCAACTCTTCTCTTCTCCAACTCTCTCCACTCCCCGGCTGCTGCTGTTACAGTTACGTTGAATTCATTACGGCGGAAAATGTAAAAGGCATAAACAGCATCGCACAACATCCGCTTGTCCACTCACATGCGAGTGTGTGTCCTGCCCCTCTATATATGTATGTTTGTCTGCGTCTGTGTGTGTGTGTGAGTATCCGGGAGTGCACGGCAGCGAGACGGACGACCTGCTCCTCCTCCGCTTTCGGCTTTCGGTCGGTCAGAAGCCCCGGAGTCCAGTTACGGCTACAAAAGCCGGGCTGCCTGCCCCGCTTAATATGCTAAATGTTGAAATTCGTCTGAATTTAATGCGAGTTAGCCAAAGGTCTGCAGGCCAGACAGTTGGGATTGAGATTGCCGGTTTAGTTGTAGCCAGGTTAATACACAGTGACAAAATATTAAGTAGCTTAATGCAGATGCACTACATTCATATTCATTGAAAATGCAACCCTGTGTCTGGTTTTTTGAAACATTGCACTTTTAAACACTGTTCAAGGCAGTGTTTCAAAAGGCCATATAGTCATAAGCACATATGTATGTATGATAGGCCATATAGGCCATATTTAAAAAGACTATAACCCTTTCTTGACATAAAAATAAATTAAGCTTTAAAGAATTTAAATATTTAACACTACCGGTGTTTAAAAATGCCATAAAAAGTGAACCAATAAACTTTCTCAGTACTCAAGTAAATAAAAAGTATTAAAAGTGAAATGTGCATATGAGATCCGCTTTATAGTAATAATTTCTTCCCAGCCAAATTTTAATATCTCGCTCTGAAGGACACTCTGAACCAGGTTTATTCCCGTTTAAAGTGAAAGCAGTTGAGTTTAAAGCCGAAAACCGATTTTGGCCCAAAGCACAGGTATAAAGCGAGTGGCTTAAAAGCGATGAGAAGCCGTCAATGCACCATTAATCAAACGATCCGAGTCCTGTGGCAAGGACTTCAGACAATTAATTAATACAACGACTACAAGCCGAGGTAATTAAAAGCGGACTCCGATTCGGATTTCGTATCGGAATCGGGAATCGGAATCGGTATCGCCAGTGTTGAGCTGAAACTTTTGTGCATCGATAATGCGCCAAGTAGTGGGGTATGTGGGGTGTAGTAGGGGTGTGGGGTGGTTTGATGTTGATTTTATTAAATGCCAAACTGTTTATCGATTTCATTTGAGTGCATGTCGCGCACAGGCATGCCACGCCTTCTTATTTATCAGTGCCCCCTGTACTCTTTTTTTAATACCACCAGCCATATGCAAATTCGGCAGCAATTTGTGGCCTCAAGGAGCCGGAGAACTGCAAGCAAATCGAAATCAAAATAAAAAATCTTCAACTTTTTCTTCTTATTTTATTAGAGTTTTTTTTTTGGGGAAGGAAGGAGCAAATTTTCGCACAAATCCTGAGCTGAGTTGGCTGCGATTTCTTTACCCAAATTGCGTTCACCCGCGCCCCGGACCAGGACAAAGCCTATTGTCAGGCTAATTCATGTGTCGACTGCAGGATTCGTTGA